CCCCCCCCCAACCCCACCCCGCTAGCGGAGTTACTGAAGTGGCTGCTTCGGTGTCGGCCTCGTGCTCTTCGCCGACCCTCCAGTCCAGACAGAGATTGGTGTGTGTTTGCGTCTGTGTGTGCGGTGCGGTGGGGAGGGAGGGCTGAGGGTTAGCGTGGTGTGCCAGTGCAAAGAGCTGTACCAGAAGGCCTGGAAATTTTTCCCAGCAGGAAGTCAGGAGTCGGAGGTCTCAGCCACCTGTGCATTGGGCATAATTAGAATTATCTGGGCCCTGGGCTTCTGCGGCAGGGTCGGTGCTGGCTTGGCTGTGCTGGGGAGCTCACCTGGCGCCTCCTCACTGCACTCTTGTCTCAGTTCTTGTTTCGTTAGCAGGATTGACTCAGTCTTGCAGCGAGGCTCGGAGCAGCCCAGGGTCGCAGGTAGAGGTATGCACTATTAATCATGCTCAATCGCCATAAATGCATTTCCCTGGTTAAATGAATGGCTAATTAGTGTTTTTTTTTTTTTTTTTTGGTTTGTTTTTGGGCCATTGATTTTGGTCTCACTAACTAGATTCTCCACTTCCTTGCAAATTAGGTGGTTTTTAAAAATACCTTCCAGGCCTCCGAAGGTAATTTATATTTTAATCAGTATTAATAGTCTTAATACCTTCAAACATTTTCTCTAGAGCATCTAAAATAAAAAATACATCTAGGGGTTGGGGATTTAGCTCAATGGTAGAGCGCAAGGCCCAGGGTTATGGTCCTCAGCTCTGGGGGGGAGGGGGAAATATATATATATATATATATATATATATATATATATATATATATATATATGTATTTTTTTGACACTTAGTAACTTGAGACAGACCCAAATGGGATATTTTCTTTCATTTAAAAATACATGTGGAGATGTTAACCAAAAGAAATTCTCTATATATTTTACCTACACTTCTCCCAGTTACATGTTTAGGTTAACGATAGATTTTTGAGATAACTTTGCTTTTTATATGTAACAAAAAAACCTTTTAACTTTGAATATATAGAGTACACAAACACTCTTGTTCTTTTACAAAAATTTGTTAAGTAGGTGTAACTGTACTATGAAATAGTTTTTAAACTAGCTTTTAAAAGGCAAGGCCTTTTCAATGTGGATATAATGTGAATAATGTTTATGCAGTTAACTTTGGAAAGTTGGGTCCCTGTACCTTTGTGAAAGTATAAACTAATATTTCACGTTAATTTCAAATACTGTATTCTGAAATAACTTACTCCACCAGAAAGTATGTTTAAATTCATTTTTCAAACTAAAGCCTCAGGGGGTTGAAGAGATGTCCAGTGGAGTAAGAGCATATATTCCCTTTGCAGAGGACTAAGTTCAGTTTCCACCATCCACTCCAGGCAGGTCAGAACCACCTGTAGCACCAATTTCAGAAGATCAGACAGACCCTTCTGGGTTATACAGACCTACACATGCAAGTAATTAAAAAAGCAAAATAATAAAACATGACTGAAAACTTACTATGAAGTTCTTGGGCTCAAATAATCTTTGAAATGTATGCACTTCCAATTTTGCATTGTATCCACTCCTTTGGGAACCCTTTCAGGGGTAGAAATGGTTTGTGGTTCAGTGGTAAGATGGTAAGGCACTTTACCCAACCTAGGATAAGGCCCTAGGTTCAGTTGGGTGGGACATGACTTACACAGCATATTTGTTGGGAACAGGAAAGAACTACAGGAACTGAACAGAACAGGGTTGTCTTTCAATTTAAATAGAGGGTTTTGTCTAAAGCCACTGAACTGAAGGATAAAGTATTGCCATGTATGGGCAGAAATAAAGAGCAGGGTTTATTTGTTTTAAGAAACAAAAACAGATCTTAAGATTTTTGGCTTTATCTCAGTGTCAGCTTTTTGCTATTTTTGTAGTGTGCTCCCTTTAGCAAAGATGATACTGTATCATTGATTGTATTCTATATATATTAATGACTTCACACTTAACTGTTTAACAGTTTTTACTCTGGGTAAACATGTGAGAGGCAGTGGCAAAAAGATCTCTGAAGTTGTAGCCCAGAGATACAGGCTGCCAAGGCTACGAAATGAGACCCCCATCCTTTACTCGCCACCCCAGACCTTCAGCAAGCACCCTGCCTGCCCCTGAGCAACATCAGAAGCCATAGGAATGAACTTCACTTTATTTTGTAATGTGGATTTAAATTTACATGTTGAGGAATTCTAAAGCTTTTTTTTCTTACATGGAGAGCCTCTATAGTTTTTTAATAATATAAAAGGTAAAATAGTACCAGGTAATACTTTTTGCAAGTATAGAAATTGTAGAAATTTCCTGACCTTCGCATAGATATGCCCTGTCTATAAAGCTAGTTTAATGAGCTCTCTGCTCTGAACACATGCAGGGATTGTTGAGTCCTGGTTATTTGGTTGGTATTCTGTCTGAGCAGTTTTCCCAGAGGTGGCTTTGCACTTAGTGTGTGAGTACAGGCTGATATGGATGATGCCCGCACAGTGGCACTACACTTGGGAGGAACTGAGCTTACTTTAGGTTCGGAGTCCGAACGTTTCTTGTCTTCCTCTTTTTTTTTTTTTTTATTTTCAGGTCACGCATGTTGAGCCGTGGGAGAAAGGAAGCAGGAAAACGGCTGGCCAGACGGGGATGTGCGGAGGGGTAAGTAGAAGTACGTGAATTTTTTTTTTTCTAGTTTTTCTGTCTGCTAAGTTTATAGGAAAGCTAAATGTTATTAGATATTCAAATAATTCATTGGCAGAACTTAGAATTTTTTAAAAATGCAAAATTCAAGACTCCATTGATTCTGGTTAGGAAAAGTATTACTTTTTATGTTCCATTATAAATTCCAGATTATGGGTGTTGTTAACTAACATCATTAAGTGTCTGCTTATTATTTTTCTTAACTGTTTCCCTTTAAAGGTTCGAGGTGTTGGAACAGGAGGCATTGTTTCTACAGCTTTCTGCCTGCTGTACAAATTGTTTACCCTGAAGTTAACAAGAAAGCAAGTGATGGGTCTCATAACACATACAGACTCTCCATATATCAGAGCCCTTGGATTCATGTATATAAGGTGCGCATGTGTTTAGCTACTTTTTTTTTCCCCTAGGCGGGTTTTCTCTGTCCCCTGGGAGTCCTAGAATTCACTTGTGTTAGACTAGGCTGGCCTTGAACTCTGAGATCTTCTTGCCTCTTCCTCCCAAGCACTGGGATTAAAGGTGTGCTCTACCATTGCCTGACTTAACTGTTTTTTATTTTAGTTGACATGAACTCATTAGTGTTTTTTTTTTTTCTTTTTATGATTTTAGGTATACACAACCTCCTACAGACCTGTGGGACTGGTTTGAGTCCTTCCTTGATGATGAGGAGGTATGTCAGCAAGGGTAATCATCTGCTTTCTTCTGACTACTCTGCTCTTGGTCTTTGATTTGTTGGAGAGTTAATGTTTTCAGAATTTCAGTACATTTATTTCAGTCATACTTTTGGGATTATCTTTTTGCTAAGATTTGATGACTTCCATGTAAGGTTAAATTTTTAAGTTATGTTAATATGTTTTAAGAGTTAGTATGTCTTAACTTGAATAATAACTTTTTTCTCTTTCAAAGTACACTCTGTACTGTGTTAATCCTAACTTCTGTGGCTGATAGTAGCTTTTTAAGGTGATAGAAGGCATATGCTACCATAACTATAGGCATTTTAAATCCCTGATACTTCTGTGTTTTTCTGTGACCTTTTATAAACCGCAATATTCCTATTTGCTTACAAGTACAGACTTACAAATAGTTGATTGGCTTAAATGAGCCAACAATTAAACTTTTCCAAGGTGAGACAATAATGATTCTTTTCCATTTTCCTTTTGAGCCAGATACTCAGTGTTACCCAGGTCAGTCTCACACCTGGAATCTTCTTGTTGCAGCCTAAGTAGCTACAATTACAAACAGGATTTACCACCATGTCTGGCTAAACTTAAAAAAGCACTTCAGATTTTTAATCTAAATCTGGTCACTATCTCAAGCCTTGAGACATGGTGAGCAAAGGTTAGAGTCAGATTAAAATCATACTTGTTGTGTTAATTTACTTATCAACATATACCCACTTATATTATCCTTTTGTCTACTAATCACTAATTTGTGATTCAAAATTTATATAGTAGAGTTAAGCTTTTGTGAGTTCAAACAAAAAGTTTTTTGTTGCTTAGTGTGGCACACTTTTAATCCCAGCACTTAGGAGGCAGAGGCAGATGGATTGGTGAGTTCCAGGCCACCCAGAGTTATATAGTGAGACCATGTCTCAAAAAACTTGTTCTTTGATCAATGCATGCACCAAATGAAATTTTTATTTTTGCTTTCTGCCACCTTTAAAAAGAAAGCTCACTAATGTAGACATAGAGGAAAAACAATTTTTGAGGCGAGATCTTATGTACCTCAGGTTGGCCTCAGACTAGCTGAGATAGGCCTCTACTGCTGATCCCTGTCTCAGTTCCCTAATGTTAGGGTTACAAGCATGCCCAGCAAGCCCAGTGGTGGTTGTGATTTTCCTGCCCTGTTTTTGGCATGTTTACCAAGCTGTTCATTAATCCAAAAGATCAAGAAAGTGTTTAAGGTGAAAATCATAATTGTTAAACTTTTCTCCTATTTTCATGGGACTTTTTTTTTCTAAAGAAAGATTAAAGCACTTCTAAAAGGCATGTCACTTTTTAAACTGTTATAGGAGGTTTCTGAACGCTTCTGATTTATCTGTTCTTTATTGTGTTTACAAGCCTGAGGTCCTCTATTTGAGCTAACATATGTTTTCTTCTTTAGATATCTGCAGCGATTATATTTGGAAATACTGTATATCTGAACACTTAAATGTGTGTGAGTGCAAGCAGTTTTACCTTTAGCTCTTGTTTTCCTGTTTAGATAACAAATCTCACTTTCCTTGTGTGCTTGCACTATAGGTTTGGGACTGACAATAGCTGACTAACATGTCCTGAGCTGTGAGAGGGCATAGCAAGAAGGCCTTCATGCGGTAATGACCCTTTTCAGAGACAATGGTCATCATGGATTATGCGTTTCCAATTATTTGTTCATTTATTTATTTTGTACATAATTTTAAATTAGAAACCTCACTGCTTCATGGCAGTTGGTTTGCTATTGCTTCCAGTTTTAGCAGGGTTTCATTTTATAGTGCAGCTGTTAAAAATAACCCATAGACAGGAATTATCTGAAAGTACTCCCTACATAGCTAGGTTTCAGTGCTAGGTATGATGTGTGCAATATGTCCTCAAGTGTAGGTATGTGAAATGTAATTTTAAACGTTTTGTTCCAGTAGTTTAGCAATTTTAGAGGCTTTTTTCTATTTTTGTTAGTGAGTGAGTCAGTTCCCTCTATGCCAAGAGGCTGCAGGGTCTGCTCTCCCTGCATGTGTATACAGTTAGCCCTAGTCGTCTTCATCCATTACCAGATTAGGATACACAAATTGAATTTTTTCTGTTGGCTTTTTTATACTTAATTCCAAAGACGGTAAAAAAAAAAAAGTTTTTTTATTTTGTTTTTTTATTTTTTTAGTGTTGACATATATGTTGAGATAGTGCTTTTTTAACCACTGGGGTATCTCTTATGTTTCCTAGGACCTAGATGTGAAAGCTGGTGGAGGCTGTGTAATGACCATTGGAGAGATGCTTCGTTCTTTTCTTACAAAACTGGAGTGGTTTTCTACTTTGTTTCCAAGAATTCCAGTTCCAGTTCAGAAGAATATTGATCAGCAGATTAAAACTCGGCCTAGGAAAATTAAGAAAGATGGAAAGGAAGGTGCTGAGGAAATAGACAGACATGTTGAGCGAAGGCGTTCCAGGTAATAAAGCAGTTACATTTTTTAAAAGGGTCTTTGCAAAGTTGTTGACCTTGAAAAGTAGTTAGTTCTTAACAAGAACATACTGTTTGTCTTCACCTTCCGATTTTTTTCCTTTCAGTGTTACACTTTCAGCAAAACTTGGTCTGTAATGAGAACAGTTACAATATTGAGCACTGACATACACGTGCATGCTAGGCAAGCACTCTACTGCAGCTACACTCATCCGGAGTGCAATTACATTTGCTGTGTGTGAGCTGGTGAAAATTTTACCATGTTTGCTTGGTTGGTGTGTGTTGAGTCCTAGGGAGTAGTCAGCCTCAGTGTCCTGAGGACATACCAGGCAAGTGAGCTACAAGTACCCCAGCCATTAAAGTGTTTTATTTATTCTACTTTTTGCCCCTTAGATCTCCAAGAAGATCACTGAGCCCACGGAGGTCTCCACGAAGATCAAGAAGTAGAAGTCATCATCGGGAGGGCCATGGATCTTCTAGTTTCGACAGAGAATTAGAAAGAGAGAAAGAACGCCAGCGACTAGAGCGGGAAGCCAAAGAGAGAGAGAAAGAAAGGCGAAGATCTCGGAGTATTGATCGGGGTTTAGATCGAAGGCGCAGCCGGAGTAGGGACAGGCACAGAAGTCGCACTCGGAGTCGTGATAGGAAAGGGGATAGAAGAGATAGGGATCGAGAAAGAGAGAAGGAAAATGAACGAGGTCGAAGACGAGACCGAGATTATGATAAGGAGAGAGGCAGTGACCGAGAAAGGGACAGGGAGAGGTCAAGAGAGCGCTCCAAGGAGAGAAGAAGTAGGGGTGAGGGAGAAGAGAAGAAGCACAAAGAAGACAAGGAGGATAGGCGGCACAGAGATGACAAAAAAGATTCCAAGAAAAAACACAGCAGAAGTAGAAGCAGAGACAGGAAGCACAGGAGTAGGAGTAGGAGCAGAAATGCAGGGAAGCGGAGCAGGAGTAGGAGCAAAGACAAGTCAAGCAGACAGAAAAACGAGAGCAAAGACAAGTCAAACAAAAGAAGTAGAAGTGGCAGCCAAGGAAGAACTGGCAGTGTTGAAAAACTGAGGAAACAAGAACACAGCGCTAGTAGAGAAAAGTCTAGAAAGCGCAGCAGGAGCCAAGACCGTTCCCACAAGAGAGATCACGGTGATAGCAAGGACCAGTCAGACAGACAGGATCACCAGAGTGGAGAGCCAGAGAGCCAAGAAAAAGAACACAAAGACAGCGATGAGACTGTGTGAAGATTCTGTAAAATTGGATCACATTGAATCCTATAAATGTTGATTAAATTCTGCTTTTTTTTCCCCCCAAGTTGAGATTGTGCAGTAGTTATGCACTCTGAGCTCCCTGTAGGCTGTTTTCATTTCTTTTGTGTAGGGAAGTGCCTTTGTAATCCCATTAAGCATTGTTTTCACCCAGTTGAGTTGACACATAATGCATAGATTGTTTTGCATTTTTGTTTGTTTTTAAAATGTACAGTCTGTACATACATCCTAAAAATGTTTTAATTCTTTTGGCATGAGCCATGTTGGTTAAATTTGTATAAGGCAATAAACTGCCACTAATTCTATTTTTGTTTTGTGGGTGTGGGATAATGGTTGTGTACTGCAGTTAGCATGGCTGTGCTTTTCATAATAGAATGCTAAAGACTTTGGGAATGGATCTTGGATGTTTGTTTTAGGAGAATTATGTGCTTTCAATATACACGAAAGCAACAGTTGTAGGGTTAACATTCTTGTCCACTGTATATTACCTTGGAAGCTCTTGTTAATATGTTATACTTAATAATTTCCACAGTTAATGTTAGAGAGAATTTATAAGAGGTTTAAATTAGGCTGTGATTTGATCAAAAGTCCTTTTAGCGTTCTACCTCAAAGGGACACTGTTAGTATGCCTAAAATCTATTCACTTAGTTTAATTTTTTTTTTTTAAACCACATTTACTTGTGCTCCCCACCCAAAATTCTTTCTCAGATTTTAAAAGTACTATATTAAAGAAGACATGTAAAGCCTGGCATTGCAGCAACCCTGTACTGATGTGATGGGGAGAGGGCGGGGCATATGAGTAGAGAAGCAGTCAAGCCTCAAGCTTCCAAAGCATTTTTTATAAATGGAGAATACTTAAATTATGAAACAGCTTGATAGAGTATCCTTTTTTAAGAATTCAAAACTTTTTTATTGATAATGAAGATTGCTGTTTGAGTTTTTAAATTTACTCTAGAACAGAAGTATTAAAAGTAATGCAGAGCTGCGTTATTTAAGACTTTCAGCAAATTATTTGATAGATTGTTCTTATGACTTGTATTCTGATTTCAGAAAACCATCATGAGTGTGGAATAAATACTGGATTAAATCCTTTATCCTGGGTGTTGGCTTTCCCCCATTTGTTAATTTAAAAAAAAAAAATGTGGAAACTGATAAAAATGTCTGGTTTTCTGTAGAGGATATCTTGAGCAAAAGTGACTTAAAACTGCATTGCTCATCTTGTAAAGGTGTTTGCCGCCCAGCCAGACCCGAGTTCATCCCAAGGTTAGGAGGAGAGAACTGACTTCAAGACCATCTCATGGTGTGCATGTGTGCCGCTGCGAATAATCTCAATCGTGAAGATCATAAGTGGATGTGCTGTGCTGATGCTTACTAGAATCTTAATGGCGGTTACCCTTTGGGGGGCGGCTCATGGGCTCAATTTTTGTGTTGCAGGGGCTCTTTTGCTTTGTCCACATCAAAGGTGATTGCTGACATATTTGGACTGTGTTAATGCCATTTGAAGTTCTGTTTTGGAAGTTTTAAGTTGTTTTTTAGGACAGGGAGGTTAGAGGACCAAAAGTAATAGATTTTAATCAGGATAAAAAGTGAATGAATGAAAGCTGGCTGGTGGCGCACGCCTGAAATCTCACTATCAAGGAGGCAGAGGCAGGCAGATGTCTTGAGTTCAAGACCAGCCTGGTATACAAAGCCAAGGACAGGACAGCCAAGACTACACAAAGAATCAGCACGATCCTCTGTTAAGAGTTTCTCTCAACCCTTGGCCAGTTGAGCACTTACAAGTGGTCAGTGGAGCAAGAGACAACATTTGTACCAATTCCTTTTAAGGAAAATTCATTAAGTGTAATGTTTATATTACAATGTTGAAAAATCCAGTCTGTAACTGAGCAACTAGTCTGTTACAAGTAGAATACTTACTTGGGATCAGCCATATAGTTGTGGGTGCTAAAACTTGAGTGATCCTTGGAATCCACATAGGGAAGAGTCCTGCTGGTGTCCTCCAATCACACGGTTGCTGTCAAATACTAAGACAAATTTTTAAGAAAATTGAGAGCCATTAATTAGGTTTGTGGGGTTTGTTTGTTTTGTGGCAATAGGGAATCTAACCCAGGGCCCCGTAGCAGGCAAATGTTCTGAGCTGTGTTCTCAGCCTTTGAACATTTGACATGTTCAGTGGTATGTTATAAGCAGACTGGAAAGCTTTTAAAAGAGATGAACAGCTGAGTTCCAAAGCAGGTGTTTTCAAAGGATGCTTTTGGTGGGTGTGAGAATGTGATGCTATTATCACATGTATGCCTGTTTTACTTGAAGAGTGGCTTCCTGTGAGGGGAGGAGTTGGCCCTGGAAGATTGATCGATCATTTTTTGGGACCTGGGGAAGTTGGAAGAGTACTTTAATAGTTTAAAGGATTTGTTTTAAATTATGGTATGTGGGTGTTCTTTGAGACTAGAGAGGTAGGATCCCCCTAGCCCTGGAATTAGAGCTGATTTGGTGCTAGGAACTGGACTCTGGAAGGGCACTCTACACAGCTCCTGAGCCATTTCTCGCCCCTTTGGTGTCGCTCTTAACGCTCTTAACATCCTAAACGACACATGAAAGTAAATACTTACGCAAAAGAGATCCTGTTACCCTGTCCTCTCTTAGAAACAACGTGGCCAGTGTCTAGACACCCAACATTCCCAGTAAAGTAGCCAGTCTTATCCTAACATTTCCCCCAAACACTGGTCACCTCCATCCCGTTTTGTGCCCAGTTTTGCCAAGCTGTGTATGGAAACCACTAATTTGTGTGTGCACCAGTTTGTGTATTGGCTCCAGATCCAGCCTCTGTGGCCCTGCACTGGCCATATCACATACTGTTCTCCCAACCATCATCAGAAGGCAGGAGGGATTGCTACCTTAGACCTGGTTCCTTTCAGCTGCGCTGTGTAGCTTAGCTTGTAGGGCACCCAGTGGCACTTAGACATCCGATTTCAGTGGCACCTCAAGGAAATGAGCAGAATTTCCACAGGCTTCCTCCAGCAGACAATTTCCCGGTGAATTTCAGCAGTACTCTAGTGAACCACTGGCGTAATTAGCGGGGTGGGGGAAGGAGTCCAGTGTGATGGTTTAATATAGAGTCAAGTCTTCTATTCCTAAAATCTTAGCTATTTTGTAATATGTGTATTTTTAGATTGAAAATTTGTACAATATAGTCTGATCAGTTTCCCCTCTCAGCTCCCAGATCTAACCCATCCAACTCCACTCCTTTTTTTACAACTACTTAAAAAAAAAAAAAAACAGGCAAAACCACACACAAAGAATAATTAAAAAAAAAAAAAAATGTTAGCCATATTTGCAAAAGACCAAGAAGGTTTTTGTTGTTTTCTTTTTAAGGCAAAAACAAAGCAGTATGAGACAAAACAAAAATACCATTGAGGTTTGTGTTGGCCAACTATTGCTGGCCACGGGCTCTGCTATTCAGTGTGGTTCATGTACTATGTACCCAGTGAGACTCCACTGAAGAAAACTAATTTCTCTTTGCAAGCAGATGTTTGGAGCTTGCTTCTTGGTTGGGGATGGGAGCTTGTGTCCACATCCCCTTTCCTGCCCCCTTTTGCATGATGCTCTCTGAGCCTTGGGTGGAGAAGGACTGTAATAAAGATGTAACCCATGTGGCTGAGCGCTTCTCATGTCCTGGTTCTCTGCACTGACGAGCATCCACTAACAGCCTGAAAGCTGCCATTAATCCACAGAGAGATAGTGGATGGGAAAAGCCAAAATTCTTATACCACATCCTAAAACTTAATCTTGCATTTCAGATGCTTATCTTTTTATATCCAGATACTTTTCTGAACTTGGTGTTATTTCTGGGTCTGTGTGTGTAGGTGTTGGTTACCAAACTCAGAACCTCACCCTCACTACCACTGAGTTAAATAACTTCATTGGTTACTTTCAATGTTCCTAGTGTTACCCTGTTGCACTCTTGGGTTTGTTGCCTAGGATCTCTGAAGCTCAGTCTGGTCTTGAACTCACTAAATAGTTAAAGAGGGTTTGAACTTCTGATCTTCATGCCTTCCTCTTCTGACCCCTCCCTCACAAGTTTTTGCTGTGCTAGGCACTGAACATGCTAAGCAAGCACTCTATTAACTGAGCCATGGCCCCAGCCTAGTAGAATCACCCTTGTAGCTGACCCTGTTCCCTTAGAATCTGAAATTATGTACTTTCTACATTGCAGAGTCCCATTTCTGAAAATAGAATTCAAGCACCTGGTGATTTTGGTAATTCAGAGCTATAAAGTAAAGACAATTGATATATTCTATTGCTTCTCAGCAATAATGCTCATCACCTATTGTTGACAACTCAGTCCTAAACCTGCCTTACTTCCTGCAAAACTGATGTTCCTCAATTATTCTTACCATTCATTGACCGTGGAAGTTCTTCCCTAGGGTTTTAACAGTGAGATTTATAAATTTCAATGGCTACCTTGCAGTTGCTTGGATCTTTTTTCTTTCTTGTTCTGTATTGATTTTGGAGACAGAGTCTCATATTGCCCAGGCTGACCTAAACCTTGCTGTGTAGGTGAGGCTGGCTTAGAACTTCTGACTCTTCTCTGTTCAATTTCCAACTGCTTGAATTACAGTTATGTGCCACCATGCCCAGCATATCATTTAGATCTTGAACATCCTCCAAGGAACCCTAGGGTTTTGTCCCGATTTGTGGTTTACTAGGAAATGATGAAACTTGTAGTTGGATGCTAAGTCATCATGGGTGTGTCCATGGCGGGAACACCAGGATTTCCATTTCTTCTTTCTCTTTGCTTCTCATCTGCCTGTGGTGAATGGATTTCCTCCACATGCCCTGTCTACTGTAATATTCTATCTCTCTACAGGCCCAAAGGCAATGGTGCAAAAAGACCATGGACTCAGTCCTTTGAAATCACTAGCCAAAATAAGTCTCTTTCCGTTTTTAAAGTTGATGATCTCAGACATTTTTTTTTCACAGTGATAGCTGACTGACATGACTCTATGCCTCCTCCTCCTCCTGTTCCTGCCATAAGTCTTTTGGTCTGGGGAGACAATGTCTAGCTATGTCTATTTTCTAAGTGCTGAGATCCAGGTATGAACCACAACATCTGGGTGCCTTTGGCTTGTCTGTCTGTCTGTCTGTCTGTCTGTTTGTTTTGAATAGGATCTTGCTGTGTAGCCCTGGCTCTCCTAGAACTCACTATGTAAGCCAGTCTAACTCCTAAACTTGGAAGTGATTTTCTACCTAAGTGCTGGGATTACAGGCATACACTACCATGCCCCGCATAATTCTTTCATGTGTTAATTTATTTGCCTATTTGTTTTTGTGGTTCCAATACCCTGCCACTGAATTACACCCCATCTTGCTCCTATAACTTAATGATTTCAATATTGATGGAACCATCTTTCCAATACTGACACCACTCAATTTTTTTTTTTCAACCCCCTGATCTCCAACAGCATCTTCCCCTCCACCTAACCTTAGTTGCACTCTGGCACCATCACAGAACTGTGTATTATCAACAGCTGAAATTGTCTCACCACTCCCATTTGGTCATCCAGTCCCCCAGCTACCAACTTCTTTCTGAACAGGTCACACGAATACCCCCGGTGTGTTGATGTCTTCTTCCCGTATTCCTGTGCCCTTCCTTTTTCTGCCCCTCCCATCTCCTTTGTTCTGCTGGACAGTTTTACTTCTTCTTTTACATCAAATGAACAGTCTTGAATTTTCTGTACAAAGTGTAGGAAGCACGAGTGAGGGAAAAACAAGATACCTGTCTTTCTGAGACAGGTTTGATTAACTTATTGTAGTTATGTCTAGTTGATTCATTGCATGCAAAACCTATAACTTGCATTTTTTTTATGGCTGAAAAAAATCTTTTTGTCTACATAGACCACACTTTCTTCATCCATTCCTGTTTTTGGACACCCAGGTTGGTTCCACAACTTTGCTATTATGAAACAAGCTGCAATAAACGCTGTTGTGTGCGGGTCTCACTGACACGTTGACTCGGTGAGTCCTTTGGCTGACCACCAACTTCTGTATTTCCTACTTACTTCCTCTAATATCCCATCTAAGAATTCTTTGATTC